GGTCCTCTAGGGTTGAGGTCCTCAGGGCAGAGGAGGTCTATCATCTTCAGGCAGTTCTGTCTGCAGTTCATGCCTATGATGGGAAGGGGTCGGTAGGCTTGGGCTGACTTGGCCCTGGTCTGAGTCCTTTTCTCCTTGATTGTGTCTTAAGGGAGTTGGAGAAGGCATTCCTGGGTGGTGCTCTTGAATGGCTGAATGTGGGAAAGAAACTCAATAATAGTTTAATAAGCCAGGCCAGATGCTTGAGTTTGTATTGTTGCTCTTTTGCAAGAGGAGTTTTAGCTGTGACTGAGAACTTGGGCCTTGGGTCTGCAGCCCTTGCTCCATCTTGATGGTAGAAAACCCTTAGCCCCTTGCTCTATGATGCAAATGCTCATAGTTGGGATGTGTTGTGTGCAGGGTTGGCAGGGTTGCTGCCTTCTTGTAAAAAATGTGTACCATTTATAAAGTAGCACCTTGCCTTGCAAGTTGGACACGGTGGGTGCTTTTGTGCTACACCAGGGCTGATATGGACTCTTGATTCCTTGAGATTTTGGTGTCCATTTTCATAACACTATTTCACTTTTCTCCAAAGTCCCCTCTCACCAAAGGTAGTCTCTGCCTGGGGCAGAGGAAGTACTACTAGTTTTCTCAGAGCATCACTGTTTCTCATCTCATGTAAAGCAAATGGCACTGGTTCCCAGTATCAGTTGCAGCAGCCGCAACATTCAACTTTCCATTCCTTAATTTGTCCCAAACTTCCTCTTTCTTTCCTAAGTTCCATCTGTGTCTGGCACTGGGGACGCTTGGGTCATATGTAACTACCCAGACTCACTGGTCTGCAAGGTTAGTGTTCCCCAGCTTCCCACCTTTGGATTTGTTCCCAGACATCGGCCTCACATGGAGCTCCTCTTTGAGGAGGGTGAGCGGAGAGCTCTGCTTCTGAAGAAGTGGTCCCTCTATAAGCAGCGAGAGCATGAGATGGAGAGGGACGCCACCAGATCCATGCTTGAGGCCCAGCAGGAAGCTCTGCAGGAGCTACGACTCACGTCCCCAGAGCTCCATGAGGCGGCCACCAAGCGGGACCCCAGTCTGTTCCCCTTTGAGAGAAAAGGGCCAGATTACACACCACCAGTCTCCAACTACCAGCCCCCTGAAGGCAGGTACCACGACATCACCAAGGTGTACACACAGGTGGAGTTCAAGAGATAGAGCTGCAGGCAGCTGTCCGCAGAACACACTGCCTGAGAACCAGGATGACCAGGGCTCAAGCCTGCTTGCCACAGAATCAGGCATGCTGTGAATAAATATAAATTTAATCAAGTGTCTCTTTGTCTTATGTTAGAGTCAAAATTAATTCACCTGAGGATGGATGGGGGTGAGAGATGCTGCCCTTCTTTGCCAGGTACTGGGGAGAGGATGACCAAGATGTCGCCTGCTGCCCCCCAGTAAAAAGAAGATTCCAATTGTATGGGGCAGACACCAACAGCAAGAGGCACAAAGTGACCCAGAGGAGCAGAGGTGAAGGCTGTGTGCTGTGTTGTCTACACAGGTGTGCAGAGGAGAGACAGGGCCTTTCCAGTGGGGCAGACGGAGCACACGAGTTTCCTTGTGTCATTGGCAGGGGCAGCTTTGGGTTTTGAGCTGGGGAGGGAGGCTGAAGAGAGTGGAGCAAGCCAGGGACACAGTAGTTAACAAAGTTGCTGTGTCCCCCAGGAGGGCGTGATGCCTGACTAGGGCAGAGGGCTCTCTGGCTTTTATTCAAGTGCTGCTGGTTTGAAACAGTGAATATGTTAGTGTGTGCTGGGGTTGCCAGAACAAAATACCACAGAATCTGTCACTTAAACAACAGAATTTATTTCTCACAGTTCTGGAGGCTAGAACTCCAAGATCAAGGTGTCAGCTGGGTTGGTTTCTCCTGAGGCCTCTCTCCTTGGCCTGCAGAGGGCCACCTTCTCCCTGTGTCCTCAGGTGGTCATCTTTCTGGGCCTATCTGTGTCCTCACCTCTCTTTTTTTTTTTGCTGAGGAAGATTCGCCCTGAGCTAACATCTGTGCCAGTCTTCCTCTGTTTTGTATGTGGGTTGCCACCACAGCATGGCTTATGAGTGGTGTAGGTCCACGCCTGGGATCCGAACCCACGAACCTGGGTGCCAAAGCAGAGTGCACTGAACTTAACCACTACACCACAGGGCTGGCCCCTCTTTTAATAAAGACACCAGTCATACTGGATTAGGACCCACCCTAATGACCTCATTCTAACTTAATTACCTCTTTAAGCATCCCATCTCCAAATACAGTGACATTCAGAGGTACAGGGGGTTAGAGCTTCAACACAGGAATCTGGGGGGACACAAATCAGCCCAGTGTAAAAACAGAGCCATTTCTACGAGTGACTTGATTACCACTCAGAAGCCTTTGGGTTCTTCACTACCTTAGTGCAGAGAAACCAGGGCGACATTTTATTTCAATAAGAATTCAGATTATCTGTTTTCCTAGTGTGTGGTTCACTTTTGGTTTAAAAACTCTTACCAGATAAATGTCTTTACTGGATAAAATCGTTGCCTAAGGATTCTCAGTCCTTTGGCTCTACTCATGAGACAAATGCTGAACCTGGCCACTCTTGCCAACCTCACTGCCATCTCTGAGGTCCAAGCCAGTGTTACCTTTTGCCTCTTCCACTGCAGCAGCCAACTGATCTGTCCAGGCTGGGAACTCCCACCCCAGCTCCTTCTCTGCAGCAGCCACAGGGCTCTGTAAAACGCAAATTGGGTCAGGCCTTTGGCTACCTCCACCCCGAAAATCCTGTCCATACTTGACTGCAGATCCCCCACTCCATCAGCACATGGCACTTGTTCCTCATGGCCTGCACGGCCCCTTTCTCTGCTTTGCAAGGCTCAAGCCTCCTCATCCAGGTCCGGGCTCAGACACTGAGGCCTCCCCCACCTCCCTACCCAGCGCAGGTGCTTGGTGATAGTGCTTTTGAACCAGTAGATTTTATGCATTAGGTTGTATAACCAATTCAGTGGGCCATGGTCAGCAGTTTTAACTTTTTACTTTGAAGTAATTACAGATTCACAGGAGGTTGGAAATAAACATGCAGGGAGGTAATGTGTGCAGTTCCCCCAGCCTCCCCCAGTGTTAACATCTTACACACCAAGTAGTATGAGTACTGAGACTGACACCGTTACAGCCCAGAGCGTATTCAGATTCCCCATTATGTCTGCACTCACCTGTGTGTCTAGCTCTACATGATTTTATCTAACACAGCAGCCCTGTGTCACCACCACCAGAGTCAAGGTACCATCACCAGAAAATGGCTGTGTACCCCTTTATACCACACCCACACCTTCCTTCCATCCCCAATCCCTGGCAACATTAACTCTCTATGATTACATGATTACACCAATGTTACATCCATTTACAATGTTAAATGGAACCATGCCATATGTATCCTTTTAAGATTTTTTTTTACAACTCAGCAAAATTTTGTTGAGTCTCATCCAAGTTGCACCTACAGCAGTTTATTTTCAATGGTACAGAACTGAAAATGTCAATGTATCAGACACAGGACGGTAAGTATTGTTTTGTGAAGCTTGTTTCAATGAAATATGCTGTATGTAACAGTAGGTACCAGACTTGTTCCTATGAGTTTTGTCTCCAAAGTTTGAAAGACACTGCTCTATCTTATCACTCTGACCATTTTCTTCATAGCACTTACCATCATTTTAGACACTTATTTAATGGTGTTTAGATGTTTATGTCTGTCCCCTAAACTACAACAAGAACCCTTTGAAGCCAACTTGTCCATTTCAGTGCTGTGATCCCAGAACCTCAAACCCCACCTGGCGTGTAGTGGGCGCTCAGGTGTTGTGAACGGGTGAACACAGGTGGGGATTCAGGAATATTCTGTCCAGAGTGATGATTGTCTGTCAATGTGGGAATCGCTGAGCAGCTGAGAAGGTATAAGACTTCCTAACAGAGCACTCAGCTGCAGGCAGCCCACAGCCCTACACAAGCAGATGAAGAGGACTGGCTCCTAGGAGCTGACCCCCTCAGAACTGCTCTGTTGGCTGCTGCTCCCAGGCTTTTCCTGCCTCCTCTAGCCCTGCCCCAGGAACTCCAAGGGAGCTGCTGCAATTCCAGGCATCATATACAGATCAAAATTCAAATGTCCCTGCTCCGTGTTTCAGAGGGAGGAGAATGCCTGTAGATCTCTAGCAGCCTTCCCTCTCTCCTAGCCACAGCCATGATGGAGATACCCTGGTTGGCTTAGACATATCAAGTCTACCCCCTCACCCCTCCCGGGTGAGACCCTGCCTCTTCTTTATACTCACCTCTGCTCCTGGAGTCTTATGTGCACACACCCCTCAGGTACACACAGACACAGGGAGGGACTATTGGAGATCTATGTGCACACTGCCCACCACTCACACACACACATACTGAGGGACTATTAGGGTCCTATGTGCACACCTGCCACCACTCATGGACACACTCATACACACACATACAGGGAATATTAGGGTCCTATGTGCACACCCCCCCCACCACTCATGGACATGCACACACACACAGAAGGACTATAAGGGTCCTATGTGCACACCTCCCACCACTCATGGACACACACACACACACACACACAGAGACTATAAGGGTCCCATGTGCACACCTCCCACCACTCACAGATACACACAGTCACAGGGATTCTGGGGGCACACAGGAGAACATGTACAAGAGGGGAAATTTCATTCTTTAAAGTATGCCCTTCTGAAGTGATGAATTATTTTGCCCCAAAGAATGAGTTAAAAGATGTCTGACACACTGCCTGTGGCCAGGTTGGGGCCCAGTAGTGAGGGAGGTACTAAGAAGCAGTGGGCCCTGCTGGCCAGGAAGAGAGTGGGGAGGGCACCGGGCACGTGGCTGGCCTGGCCCTCAGCAACACACAATGGGGCCTGCTCTGCAGCCACAAGATGCTAAATCATGTTATCAGTAATGGAGACCTCTTCAAGAACTAGAGTTCTTGTTGGTTCATATACATCTATTTTAAAAACATCTACAAGAGTATAAGCATACAAAAGTCTAACACCGTCCGAGCACAACAATGTCAGATGCAAAATCTAACAATTTCAACAATTAAATTGTGGATTTACTTTTCAGCTTCTACTTGGAATCAAACGTGGGAAATGGCTTTTGATATGTTCCACATTTTCTAAAAATGAGCAGGGGAAATTCTGAGGGAAGATCAAAATTCCATGTGTCTTGGGCTTGGGTTTCTTAAGCCAAGAGTCCATGAACCCTTTTTATGCAAGGCTGTGTGTTCTGTAGCTGTGTGCATTTCTTAAACACCACAGTCACCAAGGGGCCTACGTGTGAGCCTGGTCCAGAGGCACGCCCTGCCTGTGTCTGCAGAGGAACTGAACAAGTGGGCCGTAGCTGAGTGTGAGCACCAGTGGCTGGCAATGCATGGTCATCAACAAGCCAGGGCCAGGGAAGGTGTTCACGGCAGCACAACCCTTTAGCTACCTCATTCTGACCCCTCTGTGTCCAGACGGGTCAGGGCTACCACTCAAGATTTACCTGAGGATTCCAAACCCTGGGATGGCCAGCTCCCATGCTGCTGTCCCCAGGGGCGAGCATGAGCCAGACTGACCTGGCTGCTCACAGGGATCTGCGACGGTGCTCGGCTTCCTGGAAGCTCTTTCAGAGGATGGCAGCAGCAGAGCACCCTGGACGCAGGGGAGGGCCGGCCAGGCAGGACTGGAGCTGTCGGGCATCGTGTTCCAAGCCAGGTCGAAGCTCCCAGGAAGCCACTCAACTGTTTGGGCTGGTCACAGTCCTTAGGGTTGTGTGACAGCCCCACTTGAAAGAGACGGGAGGAAGCCATGCAGGGGTGCTCGTCATTCGTCTTTCTCCTGCGGCAGAGGGAGGTGCCAGTCTGCAGGGGGGCTCTGCCTTGGGGCCCACACGAGGGCATGCTTCCGTGCAGCCTGGACTCTCGCACGCTCGCTCTCACAGAGGGACCGCTGTGCAAAGGAGACCCTGGTCACTTCCTGCCTCACATGTGCCCTCACATGGCCCCTGCACCTTTCTCCTCCTCAGCACCCTCCCAAACACAGATGGACAAAGTGTACGGTAGGCACTACTCCGAAACTCGGACGCTTCCACCTGATGAACCTCAGCAATTGTTCCATATTAGCACACAGAGATCTAGCTCGTTCTTTCTCCCACGCTACTGTGAAAAACTGTTGTATAGATCACTATAATTTGAGGAAATTTTAATATGTCTTCTCCTAGGCCTCAGTTGACCTAATCAGATTCACTTGCTAAGACCAGGCTGAGGGCTGAGCTGGGAGGAGAGACAAGAGTCAGAAAGAGTGGCCCGAAGGAGGAAGATGAGGCAAGAGACACAAGCCCAGGGAGCCCTGGACAGGCGAGGAGTCCAGACAGACAACAGGTGCCACTCAGCCTACCAGCTTCTCTCTGTCACTCTCCCCCAAAATAAACACAGGGCACTACAGCACGACCATGACAGGGGCTCCTGGGAGGCGCTATACTGGCCCCTTGATGCATATAATTTCATCTTTTCCAGCTGTCTACTTGTCTGTCTTTGCTCAAGCTCTATTGTTTCAAATAGAATCTTTTTGTTCTTGCTTAAAAAGCAATCAGATGGGGCTGGCCCAGTGGCGAAGTGGTTGGGTTTGCACACTCTGCTTCGGCGGCCTGGAGTTCGCCGGTTCAGATCCCAGGCACAGACCTACGCACTGCTCATCAAGCCATGCTGAGGCCGCGTCCCACATAGAGCAACTAGAAGGATGTACAACTATGACATACAACTATGTACTGGGGCTTTGGGGAGAAAAAAGGAAAAAAGGAGGAAGACTGGCAACAGATGTTAGCTCAGGGCCAATCTTCCTCAAACAAACAAGTTACTGTGACTTAAAAAAAAAAAAAAAAAGCAATCAGAAATGCAATGTAGAATATGAAAGACTCCCAGACCTCCAGCCCTGAGGTGAAGGTAATATCTTCCCAACACAATTCTAGAGCTATCACATGTTTCCCTAAAAATGGAATAATCTTCTACTGGTGTACTTGCTGCTTTTTTTCACTAAGCAATATACTGTAGGCACCCCTCCATGCCTGGATAGATTACTATCTATGCTTTTTAATGGCTATGTAGTACTCCAGTGTGTGGAAGAAGCTATTTGGTCAAATGTCTATTAGTGGAATTTAGGACACTTTCAGTTTTTGCACTATCACAAACAGTGGCACAATGGACATTTTGAACTTTTAACTGTGCACTGTTACCCAATTACTACCCTAGGATAAAATTCCAGAAATAAAACTGTGGGGTCAAAAGTTACACATTTGACTTTCAGATAATCAGAACACCTGACACTCCACCAACACTGCACAAGTACCCCTGACTCTCCAAACTCCATCGACACTTGTGACATTCCACTGGATTGTCGGAAACCACTCATTGTATTTTGAACTTGTATACCAGACCATTTGTTTTTCTTTTTGAATGAATTCCTTCTTCGTGCCCTTTGCCCACTTTTCTATTCTCAAATCATCTCCATTTTTCTCACTGATATATAAGAGCTCTCTTAAAAATACACACACACACACACACACACACATATATATAAAGGTTATTAATCTTTTGCCATATAGGCTAGAAACTATTGTTCCCATTTTTTGGACTTCCACTTATTATGGACTTGTCACCATTTTCTTTTATTCAGCAGCCTGGTTTCCATATCAGTTTCTCTGTTTCAATAATCACATACCTATAACTTTGAAGCAGTGGCCAGGCTGCTGGCTCCCCATCCCTTGGCACTCCCTATGAGCTTTGTGCCCTCACAGCTTTTCTCCATCTCCCACCTACCACAGCTCCAATGCACCACTGTAGACTAGACTAGAATGTAGGTGCCAGGAGGGCAAGGGCTCTGTTCTCTTCACTCCTGCATGCCGGAGAGCGCCCAACATGATAAATATCTGCTGGATGAGTGGACTAGAACCACCTCCTTACTGGTTTCCCTGCCCCTCTCCCACCCTGGCAGCCAGACTGATTTTTTAAAGATATAAATCAAATCATGCTTCCCAGCACACGTTCAGGCTAGAATCTAAACCCTTTTTAAAGGCCCACCAGGTCCCTGGTACCTCTCCAACCTCATCCCCTACCCCTCTACAGCGCGCACTCCTCCTGCTCCAAGCACCTGGACCTCCTCTTCGTTCCTCAGTCGTGCCCACTCTCCCCCCGGGGGCGGGTGAAGGCTGCTAGGGCAGGCTCCCAGGCATTCAGGACTCAGTCATATCTCCGCCTCTGCAGGCCAGCTGACGACCCTAACACTGTTAGGGGCCCCTCCTCTCTCTCCAAAACGCTCCACACCCCCTCCTTGCTTTGTCCTTCGCTGTCCTTAATGCCGTCTGAAAGCCCCGCTGAGACACTAATTTTTGATATTTCTCAAAAGAAGGGAAGCACAAGTTGGGGAGGGACCCCGCAGCGTGAATGCCCGGGGCGGGAACGTGGGGAGGCTGTGGCCCGTGCGCTCGGACGCCCCGGCGATGCGCCCCAGCGCCACTCCTGGCCTCCCAGCGCACCTGGGCTTCGGCGCTCCGGCGTTCCTCCCACTCTCGGCAGCTGGCCAGGTCGCGCCGCCATTGCTCGCAGGCCGGCCGCTCGCCGTGGACATAGTAGTGGTGCAGGAAGTGCCCGGCGCTGCGGCAGAGCTCCCACTCCGCGCGGTAGGCCTCGCAGGGGCGCGGCGGCTGCGAGAGAGGCGCGTCTGAGTCGGAGCCTCTGCGCCGCCCGTCCCCGGGCCCCATCCGGCCCCTCCCCAGGAGAGGGCTCCGTTAATCCGGTCACACGGTCCAACCCGGCACCCGCAGGTCCTGGGGGCCCACCACACTTACCCGCCAGCACCCGCCGTCAGCCATGTCCAGGCGACTGCCGAACCCGCCTCCTGAGCCGACTAGCCAATGAAGATTAAAGAAGGCCACTGCGTGACTGACGGATAGAAGAACCAATGAACTCTGAGATATTTGATCTGGCGCTCAAATCCTCGCCCCGCCCCCTTGAGGCGCTCCAAGAAACAGGGCGTCCCAATTGGGCAACCAATAAAGTCAGGGCGGTAGGGCGCTGGGGGCGGGCAGGGCAGTGCGGGTGGGGGCGTGTTCCGAGGGTCTGAAGGCCGCGCGCGCAGCCCGCGTGGCCGCGGCGGCGACAGCTGCCCTCCGCCGGATGCTCGGCGGGCGTCCTGGGTTTGCACGGCCGCGTTCAGTTGGCTGTTTCTGAAACAACGTGGTTCTGGCCAGTTCTTTTCAGCAGCTTTATTTTCATAAATCTCAAAGATCGGGTTCATTTCGCAAGCACATATTGACCATCAACGCCATGCGGCGAAGCTGCCTGAGTATCCCCTCGAGGGCGGTGAACTCACAAAATAACCGGGGTTGGCTGGCGTGACGTGTGTTTTGGGGGTGGGGTCCAGGGGGCGGGATGACCCCCCGAGCGAACTGAGGGTGGAAGTGGAGGCAAGAAGGGCATGCGAGCACAGCGGCAGGCTGGTAAAAGGCATGGAGGCTGTGTGTGGCACGGGGTAGAGAAGGGGGCCTTGCAAGCCCAGGGGCGGCTTGTATGTCTGATTTAGGAATGAAAGCTTTACTCTGAGGCTTGGGCAGCCAGACATGGAACGTTGTAAACAGGAGAGATGCACAAGAGGCAATACAAGCAAAGTAAAAAGGACTCTGGGGGGCCTGCAGAAACGCCCTGCAGTACCAATGCACTGATTTTCCAACTTCTGCGAACCTAATCATCTGCTGGGGAGGCCGTTACAAGGCGGTTGCTGGGCCCACTCTAGGAATGAGACCGGGTCACACTCCCTGGAGGTGGGCTAGAAAGCTGCAATTTTACTGGGGTCCTGCCAAGCTGGCTCACAGACCCGGCTTGGAGAAGGCACTGTCTGAGGAAGGCTGCATCCAGGGTACATCAGTAATGACCAGAAATTTTGCTCCAGGTGGCCCCACTGTGTCACCAGAAGACCCACCAACAGGGTCCACCCCTGGCCCTGGCAGGGGAGTGTGTCTCCAGCAAAGGACCAGGAGTGGTTTCATGGCATACACACTAGGTGTTGCTTAGGGAAGACAAAAACCCAGGGCCAGCATCTTACTGTAACATTTTTCATCATGCATAAATGGCAATGTCTTAGCCAATGTGATCCTGCAAATAGATGTTGCCTACACACCGAGGAGGGCTTCTATGTCTGCTAGTGAAACCAAGACCCCTTAAGTGGAGGGTCCGGTAGGTCACAGCAGTGCTTCATGCCTTCTGAAACCACATCCCTCACCAGCAGTGTTGGCTTGGGCCACAGGGCCCAGCCTGGTCATCATGAAGGTCTTCAACGCTCATTCTTTGAGGACACGTGGGTGGACTCTGGGGCCCCCGTGGTGGGGCATCCTCTCATCTTCTGAGTGTTGGGAGGAGCCTTGGCCAGAAATGGACCCCTCTGCCTGCAGGTGGGAGACCTCGTACAAGGGGAGACCCTGCTGGGCCGGACCATTCCCACCCCACAAGTCAGAGAGCCTTGTTTCTCCCTACATTCTCCAGGAGAAGCCCCCGAGGAGCTCTTCTAATGGTAGGATGGAACACAGGGCACGTGCAAGCAGGCTTTCCTCCAACTCTCGGTCAGTGGACCAACTATCAATCCACGTCCCTAATCAAACATTCAGAGGCAATCCAGGTTTTAGTCACTGCCTGTTTTTATTTGAAATTCTTGATTTAGAATTATTTTCAAGGAATAAAAGAGGTTAAAGTAATTAGATTTACATGTCAAAAGATCTCACATTATAAAAAGTAAAGATCTGAGACCAAATTAATATTAATAAAAAGTAAAGACAGGCCAGCAGAAACTTGGATAACTTAATACATTAAAACTGGGAGTAGGGGGTAGGAAAGGAGAAAGAGGAACGTACCTTTAGCTTTTATTTATTCTAATATTCATCTTTGAGCTTCCCCATGAAGTTGTTTTACTGTAGAACAAGCTAAGGGGCCAGTTATTTCCAAATGAAATCAAAATATAAGTAGAAATGCTTCAGGTTTTCCTTCTGAATGGTTCTTTTGAAAAAAATCAATACATAAAATAAAAATAGAAACACCTTTCCTCAAATACTTAAATTGCAGCCAGGGTAATGGGATAACCACTCTTTATAGAGCACATATCTATTTAAACCCCTTTTTTTCTAAGCCAAAGGCAACATCTAAGCTATAGACCTGGAAAAAGAAAGGATAAATGAAAAAAGAGAGAACACCACAGGTTAGAGCAATTTAATCCCCTCTACCAGTTTTTATCAGGAATTAGGGAACTCTGCGTCCGTTGAGGCAGTGGGAGCGCACCCAGGGCTGAAAGTGAGAGATGGCAAAGAAGAAACCTCAGAGACAGCTTTCTCTTTTCCCAATTCAAGCACACAACTGTGAAGTCCTGCTGTTCCACATCCAGGTCAAACTCAGTAATTCTCAGGAACTCTAAATAAACCTAAAGTGACACAGCATCCTCTGTGATAGTCTCATCTCCGTCACAGCCAGTAACTAAAAGCCATTATGTTGCAATTGATTATTTTATTTTCCAATCAGCCAACAGTCCCAACTTATGGCTTTCTTCCCTTTTTACGCAACGACTGTCCTTCTCCAGAGAAAGCGATGAATCTGCCTCCAGCTTCATCCTAGGTGTGAAGATAAAATACTATTTTCAGAAACCCCTTGGAGGTTTATAAAAAATGCTTTATTCTGGTGACTCATGACCATCCACCCACTTTCCTTACTTCCACATTATTCATAATGTCTTTGAAATATGAATACAAATCATTATCTATTGAATTGAAAACAAAACCACAGAATCACAACTTTGTGTCTACCACAGCTTTTATTCTCAGATTGAATGTATATCCTTTTGCAGAAGCATCACATTTGCAAAGTAAAAAATATAAAATACACCCCAAAAAGAAAAATCACCTATAACTCTACCACCCCAAAAATACATTTCCAGTCACTTTTCTGTATATGCTTCTACAAACTATTTTTGTACTTAATTCCCAAGTCTCAGGTCAATGAATTTCTTACCTAGTACACTCTAAAGGCTACAGAGAATTCCATCACGTGGGAGAGGCAATTTTTCTACCATTGGAGGTTACTTCCAAGTTTGTAGTATTTTAAATTGCTGTGGTGAGCAGATTAATACCTTTGCACACAGCTCTGATTTTTCCTAGAAGTTGAATTCCTTGGTAAAAGGATGCACATATTTTTAAGGCTTTTAATATATAGTGACTAACCAGCCCTCAGACACATTCTACCAAGCTATTGTCCCACCAGCAGAAAGTAGGCTTGTTTTTTCTGAGCCCTCAAAAACAGCAGGTATCTTTTCACATGCTTGTATTGCTAGTCAGTCAGAGGTGTTCTCTACAGAAAGGAAGATTCTGGGCTCCCCAGCAGCTGGTGTACCTCCAGCGGGGCCTGCACATGGTTTCATGAAGGCGACCATCCGGTCTTCCTTTCCTGCAGAGTCTTCCACTTGTCCTGCTGTCAGTAACTGTGCCTGGCTCCTCTCTTCTGCATACCTTCAATCACAGCAGGTCTCCTGCTGATCTCATCTGTTTGAGGAAGTGGCATCTTCTGGGGCCTTCAGGCTGCCCTGCCTTGACTGGCCAGCCTCCTGGGGCTGCACATTGCTGTGGGGACTCCCTGTTTCCTGGATCTAAGGCCTTCTTACTTTTACCTTATTCCATCATCTCAGTGGGGTACATCCTCCAGGAGCTTCCTGAGAAAGGGTGCATGAGGAGTATCTTTTTGTGAGCTCCTAGGTGACTGAAAATACCTTTTTTCTACTCTCACCTGTTTCATTGATAGGTCAGTTGTTGTTAGTTTGCTAGGGCTGCCATAACAAAATACCACAGCCTGGGCGGCTTAAACAACAGAGATTTACTTTCTCACAGTTCTGGAGGCTAGAACTCCCAGATCAAGGTGTCGGCAGGTTTGGTTGCTCTGAGGCCTCTCTCCATGGCTTACAGATGTTTTCATTCACTGTGCTCGATGCTCAGTGGGCCCTTCTGATCTGCAAACTCGTGCCCTTCACTTTGGAGCAATTATTTCCCTGATGGTTTCTGCCCCTTTGGTTTCTCTAAACTCTTTTCAGAACTCTTAGGATTTGGACGTTGGCAGTGGAAACTTTCTGACTGTGGTCTTCACCCTGGGGGAAGCTGGCTAGGATCTTCCCTGGGGCTCGCCAGACTGTCCAGAGAAAGCTCCTCCAACTGCAACGAGCCAGCCTGGCTGCCGGTGCCTGGGAGCCAAGCAGGAAAGAACACCAAGGGTGGTGATATTCAGGATGCAAATTGTCACTCTTTCCTTTTCTTAATTCAGTCCTGCTATCCACTGTGCCGATGGCCCCCAGCTAGGAACCTTCTGTGATGCCCTTTCCAGAAGAAGAGCCTCCAGCCTTCCCCTGGGGTAGGCGAGGAGCAACCCAGTGGGGCAAGGGGAGGGGGTGCTGTGGTTCTCACTGCTTTGTGACAGACATTCCGTCTTTAGCCCCCATTTCCAGAGGGGCCCTTAGAGAGCTCAACCATCTAAACCAAGCTGCCTCTTGACTTTCCCTATAGCAGGCTCAGGATGTAGCTTTCCATGGTCTATTATGTCAGTTACCAATTGTCCTTCTGCTCTGGGGCTTCCAAAGTTCTGTTGCAGTTGCCTCGTCTCCTCCTCACTGTCTTTATGACCTTATTACCTTGTACCACAGCTTTAGTGTGGTTTCAGGATGGAGCAGAGCTAAATAAGCATGTGCCTTTAATCTCACCTTCATACATTTCTTATTAAATATTTATTTATAGATAAAACAGCTCCAGATGTGCCTGCCAGCGTCGCCCTCCCTTTCATACAGTCAGGTCGCAAGTCAGCTTGGAGGATGCCCCCTACTGAGCACTTTAGGCCCAAGTCAGCAAGCCCTGGCCTGTGAATGGCAAAGGCCTGGATGGGACCTCAAGGAGGACTTGGAAGGTGAGGTCTGATCAGGTACCACATTTGCTCCTCTGAGCCTGTAAAGTTCCCAACACTGTGTCAACTTGAGGAACATTAAGACCAGGAGGGGCTGTGATTGGGGGTGGGGTGTGCAGACAGTGCAGTGGTCTCTGTCCCTAACTACCCCAAAGGTAGAGGGGGTTCAGTGGTCAGGAGGGGCCGATGACAGCCCCACAGCTAGGAACCGGCCAGTGACTGGACCCATTTAGCAGCCCATCCTGAACAGGCTCATAGCACATCTGCCCTCTGCCCTCCCCCTACATCCCCAAGAGACCAAGCCTTTGAGAAAAGGAACCAGGAAAGTGGTGGGTCTGAAGTGCTGGTGTTCTAGAAATACAGGCACACACAGCACAGCTGCTGAGTGGGGTGGGCGATCTGCAGCAGGGTGTGCTGGGTTTCTGAGTCAGCTTCCAGCACCTGGACGAAGTGCCTACTAGGCAGAACCTCCCCTCTGCCAACACCTCCTGCCCCCAGCTGCAGCCTTCCCTTCTTGTCACAGAGCAACTCCCAGGCTGAGAGAGGCCGCTCTCCTCAGGTCTCAGTGGAGGCCACTTCTGGAGTGTGCTGGCACGGAGGCAGCCAAGCCGTGGTCAGGAGCTCTGCCCCTGGGCCCTGGGTGCCTTGACCTCCATGCACCTTCACGCTCACATCTGTAAAAATGCAATCACAGCAGCCACCTCACAGCACTGTCCCAGGGGCTAAACAGTTACGTAGAAAGCACTCAGCATGGGGCCTGGCACCTGGCAAGGGCTCTGCGAGCCAGTATCATGCTGATCACTATTGCCAGGTGATGCCAGAAACACCCTTACTCAGAATGGAAAGAATTCCCCCAGTCATCACTAGCAGATGATACTTCTCATTACCCACGAAATATACTCACCTCCTCAACCTTTTTGACCAGTGGACGTGAATTTCTGATGAAAGTGATCTTACCAAGTTTAAATTCATAATTGGGAATGCCTCTGTAAAGAAGAGAGAGGAGGAAAAATGTTAGTTCCAGGAAAAAGGGACTAAAATTCATTTTTGACACTCAAGAGGAAGGCAAGTAGAAGACAAGTGTCCTCTTGGCGACTCTCACTCTGAGGTGCGTGGCTGTGCCCAACCCTGTCCTTGGGCCAGCCATCTGGTGCTTCCCAGCCTCCCTGCAGGAGGGATCCAGAAGGCAACTAGGGCGGGGTCTGCAGACTTGAGGCCTCATCTGTGGTGAGGGGTCACCTGTGGTAAGGCTTGGGGGGCCCTCACCATCTCTGTCCTCCAGCCTCACGGATCACCCTGGAAGAGCTCCACTCACACTAAACTCATTTCACTCCTGAAGAGTCTGGGTAAAAACCCCCTTTCCACCATTCTCCTTCTGCTCTAACACACAGCAGACAGGTGATATATCTCATCCTGCCACCACTGTGATGGCCACCAGAGCAGGGAATCTGCTCCAAGTGTCCCTGGACCAAACAACAGAAACACATCTAAGTGAGGCAGCTCCTGTCTCTTCTTTGAGGAAAGTTGAGATAATGTGACTTATCAATTATTTGAAGCCACAAAACAGGAAAATAGGCAGATTACTAAACAGGAATCAGAAAGGTTTTAAGGAAGTGAGAGATCTGATCAGGTGCCACTTGGGGGCAGTGGAGGCTGAACTGGAGGCACAGAAGGAGGCTGGACAGCCATGTCCTGGGGAGAGGCTTTGTGGATGAGGGGAAAGGCATCGAGATACTTCCCCTGGGAAACACGAACCCACGACATGCTCCAGCCCAAGGAGAGCAGGCGGGGGACGTTCATCCACCTGCCAGCCTCTCTGATCTAGGCTTTGTCTCCAGAGCTGAAGTAACGCTGCCCCACCCCAGGTACAGACCCTCCTTGGATGATGACAAAGCATTGGGTGGGAGCAAAGCCAGGGCAGACCCACCTTTTAATGTCTCCGGGCTTGATTGGGGAGGGACTGGGCTCTACACCTTTCTTCTTCCCATCCAGTCTATTCCCGGAGCCGGAGAAGGCCTAGACAGGCAAGCAAGAGAGTGTGTGTGCGCAGAGCTCCGAGAAGAAGAGCGAACACAGAGGTGCCCTTTGGTCAGAGACTGCTGCAGAGATGTGTGCGGCGGCACCGCCCAGACCTCCTCAGGACTGAAGCCCTTACTCCTAGCCCGAGTGTGGACAGCTGACAGCTCTTTGCCCAACCCCTCAGGGGACTGCTGTGAACTGAAAGGAGACTCCTGACCCAAGAACAGTCGTCCCCCCAGGGGCAGCCAGCAGCCAAGGATGGGTTGAAAGGTCTGGCCCAGGCCTCTGCAGGGCCATCCAGCTCAGGCCCGTGGGTGGGCTGAGACCTCCACTGAGACTGCCTCGCAGCTCAGCTTTGCCTCCTCTGCTGCCTCCCAGTGCCCAGTGCCAGCACACTAGCCACCTCTACCTGTTTCCCAGGGAGGGCAGCAGTGCTGGAGGGGCATGTTGCAACTTACTTTCAAACAGTGCAGGCAAAGAAAAAGAGGACATGTTCTTAGAGATAAAGCAAGTGTGGTCACATTTGGTGAATCTAAGCGAAGAGTGTATGTTCTGTCTGTTGTACTATTTTAACTTTTTGGTGGGCTAGAAATTCTTTAAAAGAAGAAGAAAAAATTGGGGCTGCCTTACAGAGTTGTTGGGAGGATTCAAGTGGATGCAAAAGGGTTTGGTCACTGAGAAAGTGCCAGATACACGTGTGCACGGACACCCAGAGGCCCAATGCCTGCCGAGGTCCCCGGAGTGTTACAGAGCACGGCTGGAAGGAGCAGATGGTATGCCGGGAGCAGAGAAAATCAAACGTGTGGCCTGGTACTTACACGGAAGCCCAGCTCTCCAGCATAGCCGCTGTGGTCAGCTTCGCCTTCCTGACGGGGACAGAAAAACAGGAGATGAGCTACAGAAAAACAGGGACACCTTAGCTTTTCCCTTGGGCCTCTCATTGCTACTGCTGTCCCTGCACCCCAACAGCTGGGTGTCCCCTGGGAGCAGGGCTGGAAGAGAAGCAGGGAACATGGCCACGTCGACACCAGCAGAGGCCAAACACGGGCCGGCTGTCAAACACTCCTAGGACACACTCCCAAAGAACCACTGTTCCAGAGGGCAGAGCATGCTGGGGCTGGGGCGGGACGCTGGGGAAATGACTTACAGTTGACTCCTCGTGCTGGACTTGTCTTTCAGGCTCTTTGTAGCCCAAGGGAGCATCAAAGTCCACCTGTGTTCCCAAGATGAAAATAAAATTTCAGACATGGCCACATTAGGCTTCCTTAGCTTTTCTGCTTTTAATTGAGACAAAGTAGGTTCACATGCAGTATAAGACATGATACAGAAAGATGCCTTGTGCACTTTGCCCATTTCCCCAATGGCCACATTTTACAAAATTACAGTACAGTGTGTTATGTCACCTCCAGAATATCGACATCCACACGATCTAGCCCTTATTCAGATCTCCCCAGTTTTACACATACTTGCTTCTGTGTGTCCATGTTAAGCTCTCACAATTTTATCACCAATGTAGGCCATCATATCCACTCCCACAGTGCAGATACTGCATAGCTCCCACATCACAGGAGCCCCTTGTGTTGTCCTTTTATAACCACACGCACCTCCCTCCCAGCCCTCTCCATCCCTCACTCCTGGCAACCACTACTCGTCCTCCATTTCTCATGTTTTATCATTTCAAGAATATTATAGAAATGGAACCAGACAGCGTGTACCTTTTGGGATTGGCCGTTTTTGCTCAGCACCCTTCCCTGGAGATCCCCCAGGCTGTTGTGTGTACCCAAAGTTCCTTCCTACTCAGGAGTTGACTAGGCTTCCTTAGCTTCCAAGAATATTCACTCCTCCGTAGGTCTGAGATGCTGGTGGGTTTAGCCATTTCAGAACTGGCGGCTACTCTGCCACCCCCACTGGCCCCAAGATGAATCACAAGGTCAGCAGCCCCCTCACAATGTTCTGGCAGCATCTTCCTCCTCTTACAGCCAAATAGTCCCAGGGGCTGAGTGCCACCCTCCTGGGGCATTGGCCTGCAGGGGCCACTGACTACCCATCTTGCCCCGGCCCAAGGGCACTGTAAGCAGCAAAGCCACTCACATTCATGTCACACTCGATGATGGACACGGCCTTGTCAGGCTTGGTCTCCATTACCCGAAGTTCATAGATCTGTGGGAAGAACATAGAACAGTCGGATGGTTTTGTGGCAGCACTGGGGGCTGTCACCATTCATGTTACTGCAGCTCCCTACCTGGCTCCTGCAGACACATCATTCACCTCCACAACACCTTCCCCCAGCCGCACCTCTTGCTGCAACAGTGGGTGTGGGCTGCTGTGGGTGTGGGCTGCTTTGACGCCCATCACTCAACAGAGGCTGTTCCCCACAAGTGGTTGAAATCAGACAAGGTGGTTACACATCAAATTGCCAAAGATACTCACAACCTTTAACCCAGAAAGTTCACTTCTAGGAATTTATTCTAAGTAAATAATTAGCTAAATACCCAAAGAGAAAATTCTAAGAATGCCCACTCCAACATTGCTAATAACAGTGTATACCGAAAATGCCTATCAATAGAGTGAGTAAATGAATGATATTTATTCATATATACATAAAGTATAGTCACCAGTGGAATACTATGCAGCCAACAGGAAAAGAAGTTAAAAAACCAGTCCTGGGGCCGGCCCCATGGCCTACTGGTTAAGTTTGGCGCGCACTGCTTCGGCAGCCTGGGTTCGGTTCCCAGGCGCAGACCACTCGTCAGTGGACATACTGTGGCAGCGACCCACATACAAAATAGAGAAAGATTTGCACAGATGTTAGCTCAGGGCGAATCTTCCTTAGCACAAAAGAAAAACAACCACTCTGTTGCTATGTCTAGGATCGCATGTATGTAAAAAACGTATATAAAAACATCCAAAAGGATAAGAATTAAAAGTGGCAGAATCTACTTTTTCCTGTGTCGTTTAGGTTCTTTCTTTTTACTTAGAGTATGTCTCGCTTTTATAATGAACAGTCTGGATAGTCTCACCATTAAAAAAAACCCTAAACATGAGAGGGAGGGTCACCAAAGTAAAGTGAGAAGGCTCAATGTGCTCAGTCTATTTTTTAAGTTTCCTCATTATTTAATAGAAGATAAATAGAAATGAATGTGTATGTCACTGTGTGGCGGTACCACAAGTTCTCCACTCAACATCTGGATTGTCTCCTTTGGTTTTGCTATCACTAACAATGCCGCTGTGAACATTCAGATATATACATGTCTCTGGGGGCACATGTTCATGTTTCTCTACAGAGTGTTTTCAAACTGTGGATCTCAGTAATTAGTGAGTCATAAAACCAACTGCATTGCAACCAGAACTAGAAGAGAAAAATATTGGAAGACAGTATGTTGTATGTAGTAAGGATAAATACTTTTGTGACATTTTTGTTTTAGGTTTAAGTATTGTCATGCTGTATCTAAAAATGTAATTTTAAACTATTTTTAAACATTCCACATGTATGTAGAGTTTTTAGTTATTTTTATTAACTTTATTGAATTGTAAATAGAGAGCACTTTACTTCTGAACAACTCTCTAGACTTAACTCTTTTCTAGTATTTTTGATGTCATCTTTTAAGCCTCATATATTAAATATTATTACTGCTTTATGTGGTAATGTTTACCATGACTTACTTCATATTTGCCAGTTTATCTGTTTACCATTCCTTTTGGAACCCTAGTCTTCCCTTCTAGGATAATGCTTTTTCCTAAAGTACATGCTTTTGAAGTTCCACTGGTAAATAAACTCTCTCAGATTTCGTTTATCTGAAAACATTTTGATTTTGCCCTCATTCTTTTTTTTGGTAAGGAAGATCAGCCCTGAGCTAACTAACATTCATGCCAATCCTCCTCTTTTTGCTGAGGAAGACCAGCCCTGAGCTAACATCTATTGCCAATCCGCCTCCTTTTTTTTCCCTTTTTCTCCCCAAAGCCCCAGTAGATAGTTGTATGTCAGTCATAGTTGCACATCCTTCTAGTTGCTGTAAGGATGTGGGACGCCACCTCAGCATGGCCAGACAAGCAGTGAGTCGGTGCGTGCCCGGGATCTGAACCGGGGCCACCAGCAGAGGAGTGCGCATACTTAATCGCTAAGCCACGGGGCCCGCCCTGCCCTCCTTCTTTAAAGAAGGTTTAGTGACAGTTACTTTCTCTCAACCTCTGAAGATATTCTGCTATATGGGCCGTAACGGTTGCTACTCAAAGGCCTCCTATGTGCTGTTCTTCCACAAGTAGCATGTTTTCCCTCTGCTTCCCTCTCCATATCTGGTATTTGGTGTCTGTAACTTATCCTGTTTGATGTACATTACACTTCCTGTAACTACGGGCTGACGGCCAGTTCTAAAGCAACCTCACTTGTTCTCTCTCCACCATTCCGCCACTCTTCCATTCTCTCCTGCTTGGATGTCGCTGAGTATGTTTGACTTTCTCAGGATCTCCGGGACCTCACTCTCTCATATGCTCCCTTGCCTTGCTTCTCTGTGCAGAACTCGAAGTCACTTCTCCAGATTTAACTTTCATTTCATTAATTCTTTGTCAGCTGTTGTTTAACACTTTGGTTTTCAAATCCTCCCTTTTTTTTGATAGTCTTTTGTTGCTTGCTAAATTTCATGATTCCGTTTTTTAATTTCTCTGAACACGTTATACATAATCATTTTATATTTGCGCCTGAAAATTCCAACACTGATTTCCTGAAGGGTCTGAATATGCTTTTGTTGCCCCTGCTTTAGGTGTCTGGTGGTTTTATTACGAGTTCCTGTTTGCTTGTGCAATCTATAGCAATCTCGAGGGCTTAACTAAACTGGGGGTGCTTTTCCCAGAGAGAATTTGAGTTCCCTCTCCTGGGATGAGGACAACATCCACCTCTGGGTCTATTTTGGCCCCTTGAAGAGTTCCACTTTAATGTGGAAGTCTGCGATTCAGACCTCCCACCATAGCACTGATAAAGCCATTTGCCCTCAGGTCAACCCTACTGCGTGATTCTTGAAAACTTCCTATATTTCTTGTGAGTCCAACAATGCATTAGTAATCTGGGTTTTATACTGACTTAATGGAGTTTTATCAGAAGGGCCCTTTGGTGTATCTAGTCTTCCACACTTCCAAAACTGGACATCCAAACATGCGTTTCAATCCTGTCTACTCTATGTAACTTACCCTCCCTTCTAGTGTAAAATATCAATGTTATCTTTATCATCAATTTGAGTTATATTTAGCATTACTATCTTAACATTAAGAACAATAACATTAAGTCTTCCTGTAATTAATTATAAAAGCTTAAAGTATTCAGTTTAAGTAGACAATACCTGGGCCGGCCCCGTGGCTTAGCGGTTAGGTGCGCGTGCTCTGCTACTGGCGGCCCGGGTTCAGATCCCGGGCACGCACCGACACACCGCTTCTCTAGCCATGCTGAGGCGGCGTCCCACATACAGCAACTAGAAGGATGTGCAACTATGACATACAACTATCTACTGGGGCTTTGGGGGGCGGGGGGGGAAAAGGAGGAGGATTGGCAATGGATGTTAGCTCAGAGCCAGTCTTCCTCAGCAAAAAGAGGAGGAATGGCATGGATGTTAGCTCAGGGCTGATCTTCCTCACAAAAAAAAAAAAAAAATTAAAAAAAAAAATAAGTAGACAATACCTAAAATGTTCCCCACAAAGCTAAAGGCAAAAAGATTATTTCTTAGTTTATGAAAACATAGAAAGTGTGATTCAAAACCCACAAAACTGAAAAATAAGTGTTCTCAGTATCAGATGCCTCGAATAGAAGGAAACAGAAAACACACTGGATCCCTGCATTGACACTGAGGGAGCAACTGGCTTCCTGATCCTGGAGGGAGGGACAGGCTGAACCTCAGGCTCGTGCTCACGGCTGTGAGGGCCCCAGACCTGGAGGGGACAAGAGAGTGTCTGAAGGAGTCAAGAGCTGGCCTCAGGGAAAGCCAAGCTGGGGATATGGTCACTCCTGAGCACCAGGAGGTCTGCCCTGGCAGCAGCTCTGTAAGGGTCAATCGTCCATGGTCACAATGGACGAGGGTCACCCACATCGCTGCACTCCACGCCTGTGGAGGGATGGGCTATCAGCAGGTTCACCAGCTATTACATCTTCCCTCAGACATGTTGCCACAGATAATAGGGAAGTGGATGCCATCTTGAATTTTGTGGGAACTCATCTGTCAACTATGCATGAAATGAATGAGAAAGGGAGGACCAGACATGGTATTCCACTTTACAGCTCAATTGTCTAGACCCAGACACCACGGAATCAGGGATGAACGTAAGAGGTGTTCAGACCTGAAAGCCTTGTGTCAAGAAAAGGTCAAAAGCAGAGTTGCTAAGGGAAAACCAAAACTCAAGACAACAGAGGGAAGGGGACGTGCACTCTCATGAGAAGGAGAGGTGACCTCAGGTGGCACTGTCCCCAGGTGGACCCAGGCTTTGCTTCCCGGGTGTCCCACAGCACTTGGAGTGCACTGCAGGGCCAGCTCCGAGAGGGCCTATCTGCTTCCAAGGGAGGGAATCACATGACAAGGACCCACGCTGCCTCATTTCTGTGTTCCCACAGCCCAACAAAGGGCTCAGCTCAGATCATAGGTGCAATGAAGACCTTTCTAACTGAGGAGACTGGTAGCCGCGACCATGGTCCACAGAGGTACGATGAATAAGTACAACAACGTTAAGCTTATTCACTCGTAAATGCGATCAATTAGTTCTTGAAACAGAGTTGCTGAATGATTAGTACAGGGCTCTAAATATGAATCCATAAAGATTTAAAAAAGCGAACAGTAGGCAGCAATTAATTGACAAAAGCCAGGCATACCCTGCTTAAAAAGAACCCCATTCAAACACCAGAATGGCATTGCAGGTGGTTCATTAGGCGTGACCTACGTCAAGCTGGGCTCCAGGCCCTACTGGCCCTGTGGCCGAGACACCCACCTTCTCATTGTAGTTAATGGCAATCACATCCCCGGTGGTCAGACAGGCAAAGTTTCTCAATGCATTTTCTAATCTGCAGACACATGCTGTCAAGGCAATATGGCAAGATGGATACCTTGGATCTGAACCAAGTTTCCGAGAGGGGTTTAGATGGTCACTGTCACAGACAAAGTGTACTGGACAGAAGCATACCAGACTGGTACTAAAACCCACAGCTTTGATACCGTGGGACACTACTCAGCAATAAGGAACCAGCTCCTCATAGATAATAACGTGGATGAAGCTCACACTCTGCTAAGGGAAAGAATCAGCCATAGAGTGATAAGATCCCATTCATATGGAACCCTGAGAAAGACAGCTCTCTCAGGGTAGGAAGCCGCCAGGAGGTTGCTGGGACCAAAGGCTGGGCAAGGACAGGCAGGGAAGGCCACAGAGGACCTTTCTTGGGAGATGGAAACGTCTAGTTACACGGGTGTACACATTTGTCAAACTCACCAGAGTGTGCATTTTGTATGTTAATTATACCTCAACGAGTTGATTTAAAAAATCCTATGGGAGCACAGAAGAAAAAAAGATTGAATGAATCAGATAGGTCCCCTCAAAAATTCCTCTAACTCAAAGATGTCTTCATTTACACTTTCATTGTTTCTGTCTTTTGGGCAGTACCCCAACTTTAGGGATATGATCCAAAATAAAAATTAAAAAGGAAAAAATAAACTGTAAGCCCTTTATCTATAATAGCAAATAATAATAAATTCTTAAAAACTGAATAACCCAAATGCCCAAACAAGGGAATAATGCCTAATCACACAGAATATTTTTAATCACATCATCCTGATCGATTTACAGAATTGTTTTCAATGTAAAAGTGGAACATAAAATATGGCTCCAGAATCCGCCACTATGACATGGCACATCTGGGTGAGGATCTCTGAGTCTGACCGAGGGATCTGTCTGTCTTCCCCTCTGTTGGTGAAAGAGCCTTCCAGCTTTGTGCAAAGGGTCTTCTGTGGCACACTGTCTTCGCCCCCTGGCAAGAAATGCCATGCTGCAGGGGCGCCCTTCCCTTGACTCCTCCCAGTGACCCCTGAGACGTCAGACCCAGCCCACTCAGCCTCGGAGGGCAGAGTTGCTCCTGCATCACTGCCCTGCATGCCCCTGACTTCCTCTGCTCTCCGCTAAGACTGCCTTTACCCAGACTGTCAGCCAGACCAGGGAACACCGGGTTGCCTCTCAGTTGATGAAAGTGACACCCCTTCTGCAGGCACTAACAAGTTAACTACACCAACTTGACACGCTCGTCCACAGACATGGTCAGAGGAGGACTCAACACAGCTCACCTGCGTCCAGGACACAGCCAGCAGGTGGCGAGGGTGGAGGCAGTTTTTTTAAAACTGTTTACCTATCTGTTATTCCATCGTTTCTTTCAAGCATGCATTTTTTAAAAATAAATAAGTAGTGGAGTGACCACTCTATAACATGATCTCAATAAGCCAAACTGGGGTTTCCACGCTAGAGATCTCGATCATAGTCCATATACAGCATGCCCCTCGCCCGTACCAGTCAGTCCTTAAATTATAAACACACATGTCTGGCTTAAGCTCAGAGGAGGACACACCAAAAAAAAAAATCACTAGAACCTCAAACCTTTGCTTTCCTCTTGCTGAGAGACAGAAAATATACTAAGTCAATGCTCCCTACTGGTTTGGAGTGAAAAGCCCTAAGCCCAGGTAAAAGGTGAGGTTGAGTGGTGAATTCATGGCTGAGCTGGAGCACCAGGGGCCCACGAGGGGCTGGGAGCTGAGGCAGACTAGCCGGCCCCTCTCCCACCAGAATACACTGGGCTTTGTCCCAGGTGTCACAGTCTACCTGAAGAAAGGGTTCTACTTTGCCCTCCAGAGCACACAGCACGCTTGTCCAGACCCAGGTCCAGGAGCCATGGCAGATGTGCTGGCTGAATGCCATTATTCTCAAAATCACAACTTTAATCACAAACAAATATGTGTGGTCGCCAAAGCAGCCATGTGCTCAACAAAGCACTCACTGTTCACCGACCGCCAGCACCCTCTCCTTTGTCCAGGAGAACACTTCTTATTTCAAAAGGATACACTGCTTTGGGGTTGGTGATGTCCAGGAAGTCAGGGCTCTGAGGCTGGAATTTGGAGTACGTGGCCACTTGAAGGTTGACACTCTCCACCTGAACCAGGCCCCCTTCTTCCAACAGCAAATTCTGCATCATCTAAAGGAAGAAGGCTACATGAAACTCCTGGAAATGAAGTGGCCAGCATGAGCACCACTGACCGGTACACCAAGCAGGCCAAAGTCGGATATCCAGATGGGCTCTTGCTTGTGTCCCCAAAAGAGCAGCCTGAGATGAGGACTTGGCGACAGGTTGTCTAATTATAGTTTGATGTCAGGAAGGAGGAAAAAGCAAGTGAGCAAATGAGACAAGCACGTGGAAGGAAGAAGGCCAATAAGGGGTGCTACCGAGGCTGTCGCAGCTGACATGTGGCATCTCTGCTGGCCTCTGAGAAAGGATCTACTGGGAGAGTGGGGGGTGCAGCATTGCCCACTGGCTCCAGGCCTCCTAGGGGCTGAGTGTTTCCCCAGGGAAGCTCACCCAACAGGCTTTCGAGCTGTCCTGCACCCAACTTACAAGGCCCTGGGGCAATCAGGGCCGCACTTGAGGGAGGATGACAACAGTACAAGGTGGACTGACCGCACATGGAACGGCCGAGGTCGCAGGGTGGTAGCAAGGCCCCAGAGATGTCTGCTACAGGGGTTATATAAAACCCACACAGACACCCCTACGCCTCTATTAAACCACCTGCAAGGTGGACACCCACTGAGGAACGAGATGGAGAGATAAGAACAAAGGGCCAGGAGTACCTGCTGTGCAGGGAGCCGGGACCCTGCAGCAAGGCCGAGACTCGGGGGTCCGAGGCAAGGAGGTTGCGGCAGAAATGAGAAACTCTGCGTGTCCTAGAATGGTTTTTTGCTTTTCTTATTTTAAACCTTCTTAATGGGAAGTTCAAACATACAAAAGTAGAGAGAACCACATGGGTGAGCCTCCACACACCCACCCCCAGCTTCAACAGTAATCAGGTCACGGCTGACCTCGTCTAATCTATCACTGCCCCACTCCCTGGTCCCATCCCACATTGGGCTGCCCTGGAGTGGATCCCAGGCATCACATCCTTTCAAGAAGGCTGCACCCAAGAAGGTGAAGGGAATGCTTCATCTAGGGTGGCACCATTGGACAGGGCTGCTGCTCACAGAGGCTTGACAGCAGTGGTTAGGAGGTGCCTCGAACAGCTGAGGGACGAGGTGCAGGTGCAGGGATGAGGGAGGGAGTCCAGAGCCAAGGCGAGCAGAGGCCATGAGTGAGGCTGGAGGGTGAGCAGGGTCCTGTGGATGAGCCTGCAGAGGCCCCAACACACTCGTGTTGAAGGGTGCTTGCCAGGCTGGGAATGACAGAAATGGAGGAGTGGACGCTCCACCAAATGTCACAGGCAGGCCCAATAGGATGAAGAAGCAATGAACTTGGTAACTAAGAGGTTTGGTGACCTTGGAGAGTGATGCTTTCATAGGAAGTGCTCTAAGGGTTGGAAGTCAGCCTGCTGCAGGCCAAGTTCACAGTCCCTTAGGGTCTTCTTGGGAAATCTGTCAGTGAAGGGAAGGAGCATAACCGATGGCTGGAGGAAGGACACAGCCACAGGCAGCTCGAGGAGGAAAAGGTAAGAGCTCAGGTCACCTGCCTGTGGTTGAACAGCAGATTCAGACAGGACTTGGGGAGAGAAATGGGTAAGAGCCCAAGGGTAGTGAGGAGGCTTGCTCCAGACCTGGCCCACCCCATGTATGCACAGGCCCCTGGAGGGCAGTGGGCACGATGGAGCACACAAAGCATGAGAAGCACATGGCACCATGCAGCCACGTGCTCACAGTGGCCCTGGGCAGGGATCTTGGTCTACGTCAGCAGACGAGGCCCCAGGAGCTCCAGGTGGGATGGAGTCTGCCAATCAGCCAACAGAATGCACCTGCTTGCATCCCCACTGGGGGTCAGGAGACCTTCACACCAGCTCTGTGGCAGCTGCTGGGAAACCCCAGGCAACCACCTACGCTTGCCAAGAGCTGGAAGACCAGCCCAAGAAGAGGTGGGCAGGCAGCTCCGTGCTACCAAAAGAGGCTTCCCAGGGGATGTGTGATGCTTCTCGGCAAAACGGATTCAATGAGTTTTCTGGTCCAAAGTGGTCTGAGAGCCTGGACAAGGGGCCACCCAAACTCCAAGTCTGTGTGTTGGACAGAGAATCTTTGAGGTCAAGTGTATCCCAGTATCACTACCTCCTCTTTCACCTTTACAGATGGGCCATGGAGGGGCCTCTGTGGATCCAGAGTGGCCCTGGGAATTCATCACTGCTCTACACTTCAGCCACCCACAGCGCTCTACTGGATGAGCAGAACAGGCCTTGCACCCGTGAGGGGCACCGTCAGACATACAGGACAATGAGGCATTGAGCAGCAAGCGCTGGGGAGGGCAAGTGAGCAGAGAAGTGAGTTGGGTCTGGGCTTTGAGGTGTGAGTAAGAGCTCCCCGCAGGACGAGACTGGGAAATAGCACAGGAGAGGCCGGGCCATAGGTGTGAGGGAGTCAGGGCTCCTGTGGGGAGACGTGGCCCGTCCTTGCACCCGGGAAGGACCAGGCTCCAAAGAAAGCCTGAGTGCAAAAGAGGGGCTTCGCTTCCAAGGCAATGAAGTGGAATGCTTTGGGAAGACTCAGTTACAGGCAAGTATCTAAACACACACAGGTTGTGATAGAACTGGAGGAGAAACTACTAAAAATGGGGAGAAAATGTATAAAAATCTAAAATTCTGAACTCAGACCATTTCAAAAATACTCCTGTTTCATTATTTGTAAAAAAGCCTGACTCGTGAGATCACAGTTAAACAGCATGGCTGTGGTTTCTAGGCTACCAATCGAGCAACAGTGGAAGTAAAGGCCACCCCCAGCACCTGGCACACTGCTCTGAATCCCTTCCCTCTAGCCCCGTCACTGTCCCGGGGGCAGGACTCGTGCACATGCTGAGGGTGTCCCTGCCTATGAGGCCCCAACCCCAAGACAGGCCCACAGACTCTCCAGAGACGGAGCGGCCCCACTCACCCAGTGTGGGAGGTAGCAGATGCCCTCGTCAGCCACAAACTCCAACACACCGCAGTGCGTCATGCGGTCCGAGTTCTTGTTGGTCAGTTTGAACAGCATGGGGTAGGTAATGTTGAGTCGGCCTAAAAAGGAGAGGCTATGAGGCACGGCTTCTGCCAGGGAGAGAAACCATTCCCCCAACGTCCTCCCCTGGAAAGCAGTCTCCTGGGGTGCCTACCGTGGCCCCATGCAGCCTCGCCCCCCAGAGCAGGCTCTTGGATTCGTGTGGTACTTAGTCCCTGGGTGTCTGCCCACCCACCACACCCCATGCTCCTTGCGAGAGCACAGCACTTGGCCTGGAGGAGCTCAGGAATGTTCAGTGAGTCAGGAACACAGCATCAGCTCATTCTTCTGATTTTCTGAAATCCCAATTTTAAAAAATGCATGTTCACTCATTTATTTGCAAATAATTTAAGTGCCAACCATGTGCTGGACAAAACCCGTCTTCAAAAGTTTCTAGTTAGAAAGGCAAGAAAGAAAACAGGTGCACTCCAATATTGTGGTGCTGAGGGAAGGGCAGGGGGGCATCCTGTAGGATGTCCTCCAGGCAAGTCATAAGCCACAGGCAGCAGGCCAGGGAAGGAATTCCAGGGAGAGAAAGCTGCCTGAGCAAAGGCATGGAGGGAAGAGAAGCCCAGCCAGTTTGGGGCTGGCTGGCAATTAGGTGAGACAGGGGCATGGGGATAGGGTGTGGGAGTGGTCAGGAGGGGAGGGAGGCTGGGCGGGACACAGCAGTGTGGGCTCTCAGCGAGTCATGACACGGTACATCCCCTCACTCTAGTGGTCCCTGAGGTGAGACCAGATGGAGGGCCAGAGGCAGGCAAACAGGACTGCTGATATACTGACTCAGAAGTGCAGGGGCACAGAAAGGAGGGGCTGACGACATGAAGCAGAACCCAGGAGAGTCTGGGACCTGGGAGAAGAGTCTGGGATGGACTGACATAGTGATGGTGTTTGCCACGTGCCAGGCCCTTGCTTAGTCTTCCTGAAACTGTGAGGTATGTACATTATCCCTTTTATCTACAGGGAAGTAAGACATGCAGGTTTCACAACATGCCCAGGATCACACAGCCCAGGAGTGGCGACACCAGGATTCAACCCAGACTGCCAGCCCGGATCTGGGGCTTAACTGCTGAGGCCCACTTTAGCCTGTTGTTTGGGCAAACATGGCAATAGAAGTTCCATTCAGCAGCAGGAGGTATGGCAGACTCCATTTGGGATCTCCCTAAAAATTCTGGTGAAGGAGATGGAGTAACGAGCTTGGGCAGGAAGTCACTGACGGGGAAGAAGAGCTACCGGAAGTGGTGCCTCACCATGGCAGCAGCAGTGGGCAAGGGTGTTGCCCCCATCACCCAAGGTGACTTGGATGCTGGCAGTACAGTGGCCAAGGGCCCAGAGGCCAGGCCCTTTGTCACCAGGGCACCTCCCAGCTGTAGAGCCGTGGAGCTAAACAGCAGTCGCTCAGGGTAAACTGGATCAGACTCCAGCCAAGGGTCCGAGAGTCTTCCCATTGGAAGAGACCCCTGTCTTCCACAGTCTGGTGGTTTTCCAACTGTATTTTGTGATTTAGAAAAGTGCCTTGGGGCTCCTGAGCCCTCTGCACTCCCTCACCTCCTCCAACCCGAGCAGAAACCCTTGTTATAAATTAGAACTCCCTATTTCATTCGGATGAAGTTTCTTCCACAACTTCAAAGGTTTGAACAACACTGATCTAAGCCCCACTCTCCCAATCCCTGAGTCCCTTCTCAGACACCTGTGCCAAGGGTCATAACTGGTGCTTAGCTCCTATGTCAGCTCAATCAGAAAAGCAGGCTCTCTGGGGCCTTGTTCCCTCCCCTGTGCTGACAGGAGCCTGCCTGAGGGCTGTGAACCCCACAGCTCTAACCACCCTCTGGCTGGGCTGAGGCCAGAATTAAAGGCCTACTCTTCCACTGCTGGCATCAGTTAAGCCCTGGGGGCTAAAGGCCACCTCCTGCCTTCTAACTGGTGTCACATGGGCTTGGGCTGTTTATGCACACACCATAGGTCACCAACTAGGAGGAAGTACACCTGCCACACAGGTGCTGTGTGCATCCCCATTTATTGAGGACACTGCAGTTTAGAGAGGCCAAGTCAGTAGTCTAAAGTCAGGCTGGGCAAGGTACAAAGCCTGAGCTGGAGTGACATCAGAACTGGGGCCTTTCCCCACTGTGCTGCCCCACATGCCCCTGACACCAAGTGTGGACCCGCCAGGGGCCTCCACGTCTCCTGCCTCAGACGGGAGGAATTCACACCAGAAATATCACTGAATCTCAAAAGGCAATGACTGCGCCTGTGGTGGCGGTTTTCCGAGTCCAGGTGGAGTGGGGCTGGGGGCGTGAGGTCTTCATGTTGCTCTCAGGGGATGAGGGGTGGGGAAAGAGAGGAAAAGCATGGCCACCCTCATAACCCATGGGCCTTTCTCACTCCTGGTAAGAAGCAGAACCCAGCAAGAGGAGCAGCTTCTGGGGCAGAAGGGAATAGCTCAGTTTTTGACATGCTGTGGATGCAAGGGGAAAGAGGGGGTTAGAAATTTAGGCCAGAGCTGAGGAAAGATATCTGGGGAGGAGATGAGAACCCTGACTTGAAGCACCCTCTTTGGAGCTGACCACTATCTTTTAGGAGAAAACCTAGTGAGCCCAGCCCACTGCATCAGCTGCCCCAGCACTGTGGAAAGCAAGCACTGGGGCTCATACCTTCCTTTAGTCCCGTGGGGATCCAAGACCAGGTGTATGTATGTGTGTGTGTGTCAGGGGAGTGGAACCCCCTTCATAGAGGAGACATCTGAAGGTGAGTACTCACTGGCCCCCGGCCTGGACAGCTGGCTACCACCAGCCACCACCTCACTGGGCCATCTGTGGCCCCAGCTCTCCCAGCCCAGAATGCACCCACCAGGGATGATTCCCAACCAGATGTGACGAAGGTTGCCTGTGTCTGGACATACTGAGGAGCCTGTGCCAAATTCCTGGCATCCGTATTTACATTATCTCAGTTCTCAAGTCACGTGGAAAATACTTACTGAGTTGATCTAAGGCTGAAGGCGGCATAATTACTGTGGAAAGAACACATAAGAAATATAAAGAAAATGAAAATAAAATGGACAGAATAAAAGCCAAAATGCAGTTTCTGTTATATCTAAAGAAAGTATTAAGCGATCCTTGTAGGGTAGCCAGAATTTCCTAATGATCTTTCATAAAGAATTTACTTGCTAGAATTTACTTTGAGGAACCTAATGGCTACTAGCCATAAATCTAATCATAATTAGGATTCCCCCCACCCCCACCAGCAGGCCTGAGGCAAGCAACATTTTCACTGTAACTAGCTCTGGTTATACATGCAAAATAAGGACTGTTGAGGACTATAAGCACTGCAGGCTGAGGGCAGGAAAGGTTACTATTCAAAATAAAAACAAGCACATACTCTTCCCTCCTTTCTCCACATCTGACCTGTCATTAGGCCCCGCAAGCATGGACACGGAGAAGCAGCGGTACTGTGTGGAGAAGCGGTTCTGGAAGACCCGGGGAATCGGGTGGTCAAACATGTTGAAAGAAAACTAGGAGGAGCAAAGAAATGCCGGAGTTAGAACAGAACAAAGGTACATTTCTTCTCGTCAAAGCCCAAACAGGTCAGGGTAGTTAATGCCGCTAAACATCATCAAAGAACAAGATGCCCCCAAATCCTGATCGACCAGAGCAGTTTGCCTGAACACCTCCCAGCAGCACAGTGAATCTCAAATCTCTCTGTTCTACACATTCTTCCATGCCAAGTCTCATCTCTCCGATTTAGTCTCCACTGTTTTCAGATGGTGTGAACATACTAAAATATAAAACTAGCCACATCAAGCCTGTCCTTAATCTCTTTCAGCCCCCAAACACCACAGGATCCAAGCCAGACCTTGCACCCACCTCAGGGACCGGTTACTGATGGCCCCAAAATCTCCTACACCTGCCACGTCCCCACCAGGCTGGTTCCTCCACCTGGAACACTTTTCCTCTTCTCATTAATTTAAAAAACCTCTATTTATTGAGTGCCCACTATCTGCCAGGCTCTGACTTAAGCACTCGGGAAACATCACTCTAGTGATGTCTGCTCACCAACAAAACAGGTACAATCTCTGCCCTGGTGGAGCCAACATTCAAGATGAGAGAAACAAGCAAAAGAAAATGCCTGCATGTCTGGCAGTGATGAAAGCTCTGAGGACAAGAGAGGTAAGGGACAGAGACCTCCTGGGAATGCTATTTTATATGGGTGGTCAGGAAGGGACTCTGCAGAGACCTGAATGCCAGGAAAGGGAGCCAGGCAGAAAGCAGGGAATGGCATTCCAGGCAGCAGCAAGAGCAGGCGCCCAGTGTTTGCACCCCTTCCCGTTCTCCTGGCTTCATGACCACCCTTTCCTTGCTCCAGGAACCTTCCCTGCTCTGCCCAAGGTCTGGGCTGGTGCCCCTCCATTGTGCTCTCATGTGCTACACTGTGGTACTCCCTCCTGTTAATAAGTAAAGCCAAGATGTGGTGTCATCAAAAAGGTAAGATCCCAGCTCTTAAATTGTGGATTACAATGAGGCTTAGAAAACACGTTACACAGCAATCTGGGGTCTTCTCAAAGTACTGCAATTACCTTGATGTTTAAAAAAAAGAATACAAAATTGCACAATAGGGTATATATCCAAAAGAACTGAAAGCAGGCTCTTGAAGAGATATTTGTAGACTCATGTTCACAGCAGCACCATTTACAATAGCCAAGAGGTGGAACAACCTAAGTGTCCATTGAAGCATGAATGGATAAACAAATTGTGGTATATCCATACAATGGAATATTGTTCAGCTTGAAAAATGAAGGAAATCCTGTCACATGCTACATGGAGGATGAACCTTGAGGACATTATGCTAAGTGAAATAAGCCAGCTACAAAAAGACAAATACTATATGATTCCACTTATATGAGGTCCCTAGAGTCATCAAATTCATAGAGACAGAAAGTAGAATGTTGTTGCCAGGGGCTGGGGGAGGGGAAGTGGGAAATTGTTGTTAGATGAGAAAGTTCTGGAGATCCATTACACAGCAATATGAATAAAATTAATACTACTGAACTGTATATTTAAAAATGTTTCAGATGATAAATTTATGCCATGTGTTTTTTACCATAAGTTAAAAAAAACCCTCACAATAGACAAATATTTCTTGACTTGATTCCAAATATAAATGAAGTAGAGAGCAAGCCATCTACTGACAAGGTAGTTTCCTGGCAATTCCAAAATTAGTAAGCTGAATCAGCTATCTTTCTAATATGCAAATACAGCATGCTCCTGATTAAAATCTCAAATGGCTCTTCACTCCCTGGAGCTCCAGCATAGCAGTTTTCAAACCTTTCCCTCTCTTTTTTTAAACAGCATAACTCTGTTCAACAAAATCTTGGCCAGAAGCAGGACAAATGAAACAGGATTTCCAGATGAAAGAAGGGAGAGAAGCAGGCACCTGCCTGAGCCCTGTCACTACACTAACTCATGTAAGCCATTTCTTCTCTTTACAACAGGACAGAGTAAAATACACACAAAGTACTTAATATCCCTAACAATCTGCCTTCAATCTACCCATGAACCTGACCTTCTGCCCCTCTCTGCTGCTCCCAACCCCAAGTTCTACTTCCCTTTACACCCCCAATGCCTAGCATATTACCCAGACCTATCAGGTATTCAATGTCCATTAAGTGCATGGACTTGAGAATAGAAACGTGATTCAACACTGACATACCTGGGATAAAATCTAATAATCATTCCTTGTTTTTATGAAAATAAACAGCTGACACTGAGGCAATGCTGTACAATGGTAATGAGCCTGAGCTTTGCAGCCAAACAGACTTGGCTTCAAATTTCCACTCCTCACTTTTGTGACCTCAAGTAAACTATCTACCTCTTTAAACCTTAGTTTTCTCATGGTTAAAATAATGATCACCCATGCCTCCAAGCGCTTCATAAGGATTAAACGGGATGAGTTGTAATGAGCAACTGTAGGTGTTAAAAAAAAAAGCTGCGTAATGGAAAAAGGGCCAGTAAATATTAGCTACTACTGTTATCTTTACTGAATCGCTTAAATAGCCGAAAGCATCATCACACTCGAGGCATGACCAAGAAGTACTGGGCTCGAGGAACTGGGGTAAGGGGATGACCCCGCGCATTCTCACTGGGAGCCCCTGATTCTGCTCCTCGCCCCCACAACCTTCCAATTAATTTGGTGTTTACGGAAACATGCTACGTGTCTAGCACTTGCAACTAGAAGCTTCCTTTTTCCCCTCAAGAAGTTCAAGTCCAACTGAGGAAATGCGAACCATGCTCCGCACAAGCGGAGAGAGCCGAGGCCGTTAGCAGTGAAGGGTTCGGCTCCTGCCCGAGGCGCCCCGGACGGGCAGACGGGCCGGGCTCCGGCCAGGGTGACTCGACATCTCCGTAGCCGTCACGTCCGCCCCGCCGGGCCCCGGCCTCGGCCCTCAACCCCAGCTCCCGGCCGCAGCCCCAGCTCCGGGCCCCTGCCTGGCCGCGCTTACCATGATGGACACCTCTGCCTCGCTGCCGCCGCTTCGCCCAGGGAACGTAACGATGGCAGCCCGCCGACCGCTCTCCTCACAGCCGCCGCCGCCTCCTCGGCTCCGACCGCGGGGAGGCTCACCGGAAGTACCGGACCTGAGACCCGGGGGGAGGCGCCGAGGGCAGGGGTCGGCTGCAAAAGAGAAAAAGCCAGGCAGAGGCGCTAGGGTCTAAAATTTCCCCGGAAAAAGCACTAAAATACCCTTTCCTAAAGTGTGCTCCACTCTCGAGTAATTTTTATAATTACTTTAAATTACATTTTGATAGTACTCCCCTCTAGAGGAGTTTAGTGGGGCCCATTCTCCTTACTGACTACACTACCCAGAATGCATGTAGACCTTCCGGCCTTTGCCGCAGCCATCCAGGACTCGGGCGGAAATAAGCTACACATCCTCCTTCAAACTAGACCGAGAGCCTAGTGACATCGTAAACTGACGCCCCCGTTCGATGTATAAATTAATTTAATTCATGACGAAAATGTTTCTTTTTCTTGGAGCTCCCAGTGGGAGGCTATAGGCTTCTCTTCCCAAAGTAAAGATGTCCACCGAGCGTCGGGTTTCTGGGTAAACGGGAGTCAGAGGTGAAGTGGACAGGCCTGTTTGCGTCCCGCCTGTTGATGACGCTTTTTTCGGTCAGGGCCGGACTGTTCCAGCGGAATGGCGGAGCGCTACTGCCCGCCTCAAATATGCTCCAATCAAAAAGGAGGAAAAGCTGGGCACTAAGTAGCTATTGGTTGGCCCCTAGGCCAATCGGAAGAGCTCTGATTTGGCGGGAGTCTTGACCGCGGCCGGAGCTCTCCGTGTCTCAGTGAGAGCTCTGGGCGTCCGGCCGCTGTGGCCATGTTCGTGTCCGATTTCCGTAAGGAGTTCTACGAGGTGGTCCAGAGCCAGGTGACCCCCTTTCTTGGACCCTGAAGCCTTGTCGGGGGGAAGGGATAAAGGGGAGCGGCGTGGGAGGGCGGGAGGGGCCCGGGTTCGTGTCGCTGCGCTCAGCTCGCCGCTCTTCCCCCGACAGAGGGTTCTTCTCTTCGTGGCTTGGGACGTGGACGCACTGTGCGCTTGCAAGATCCTTCAAGTGAGCCCTGCGGACCCTGGGAGGGTGGGGCCGGGGCGAGAGGAGAGGGTGCAGGGTGGGCACGGGCGGGTGGTGGGGGCGCAGGGTGGGCAGGGAGTGGGGCGGGAAGTGAAGGCTTAGATTCCGGGAAGTGAAAGCTTAGCGTCCGGGGGGAACAGGGTGGGGTAGGCAGCCGGGCGGGAGGTGAGGAGCGGGGTAAAGAACCCCCTCTGGGGTGAGAACTCAGGCTCCCAGTGAGGCCTCCGGTGAGGGCCGGAGCAACGACAACTGAAAGCCGGGAAGGGGGACTCTGAGAGATCACCTCCCTGGCAGGAGAGTATTGGGCAGGTTTGAGAAGGATTAGGCAAAAGGCAGAGACTAGTTAGTTTTTTTGCAATAACCTAGGCAAAAAATGGCTGCATTCGAGAGACCTATAGACCCATAGTGGCTTCTCAAATGTGGGATTTGAGACAGAGGAATCTGTGACAACTGAGTGCACAGTGGTGTCATAAGCAATACTGGAAATACAGGATGCAAGATCATTGGTTCAGTTTTGAGTGTGGTGCGATGTTTACAAGAGCTTTGGTTAGGCACTTGGGTCAGGAACTACTTTAGGTCTCAGAAGACATAAAAATAAGACCAGCTTTTCTCCCAATATTTTCCTTTGGTAGTTTTTAAAAAAATTCAGCAACGTTGAAAGAATGGTACAGTGAACACTCATATCCCCATTACCTAGTTTCTCCTATTAACATTTCATTAACCTTACTTTATCCATGTCATTTGTCTCTCAGCCACTTGTTTTTAACTGCATTTCAAGGGAAATTGCAGACACCCTAATTAAGATAGGTTTTGAAAATCATCTCTCTCCAGGCCCTGTTCCAGTGTGACCACGTGCAGTATACGCTGATTCCAGTTTCTGGGTGGCAAGAACTTGAAACTGCATTTCTTGAGCATAAAGAACAGGTATGAGAGATATATTTTAGAATGATTAGGCTTTTTTTACTCAATTGCAATTTCTCAACACTTAGCATTCTTTCTATTTCCACAGTAGGTTGCATGTATATGTAAGTATCAACTATATTAGGCAGTACGGAAGAGAAAACTGAGCTGTATGCCCGTGTGACTTACCCTCAAGTTGTGGAGACAAAATGGACAGCGAAAGAAAGAGAGTGAATACGTATAGCCTTTAACTTTGAACTTGTGTTGCTGACATTTCTTTCTAAGCTGCTTGGAATTTAGCAGTTAGTTTTTGATATGGCCTAGTTAAAATTATTTTAGATTAGACCATTATTTTACATTGTCTCTCCAAGAAAATGTATTCCAGTTTCCAACTAGAAATCTGGGAACATATCTTCTCCCTTTGTAATTTAAACAGTAGAGGCCAGTACTCCTACCACCTCTGTATGGGGCTGTAATGAGATGTGGGACATCTTAGAGCCCACTGCCCCACAGCTGCCTGGAGTCTCTGGCCACATCTAGGATTGTCTGGCAGAGATAAATCCTTGCCTGGAGCTCGTGTCATCACAGAAGGGACCTGTGCCAATTCGGTGTTTATAAGGAAAGGATTCTCTATAGTGATAGGATATAATAAAAGACTTAATTTAATATTTAGGTGCCCATTAAGTATAGGCTGCCCAAGATTTGCTGAAAGTGTAAACCTGTACAATGCTATTAGTATGGAGAGGCAGCACAGCAGACTGAGGTCTGGAGAGGCCCAGTTATGCATTTGAAGTTTTGATCTGCTCCACATCAGCTTCTTGCCCCTGTGCATGAGACTTGGCCATGCTGACCCTCTGCATGCTCCTCAGCGAAGTGGAGACAGCCATGGTGCCAGCGTGGAGCCTATCTCACGGTGTCATCATGAACATGAAATAGCATATGGTGTATGTTAAAGCTCTTAACACAGGCCGGCCATGGCCATTTTTGGAGCCTCTTGCTGTCAGGGCCTTGCCAAGTGTCGGAGGCTTGATGTTTCTCAGCAGAAGGATTCAGGCCTAGTATGCTGAGGTAGAGGGCCTCTGCAATGCACTTAGTGCACAATGTCTCTTCTTTTTTCAGTTTCGTTATTTTATCCTCATAAACTGTGGAGCTAACGTAGACCTATTGGATATCCTTCAGCCCGATGAAGACGCCATATTTTTTGTATGTGACACTCACAGGCCAGTCAATGTCGTGAATGTGTACAATGATACCCAGGTAACTAGGGCTTTGGGGCCCACGCCTCCCCCAAGTTCTCCCATTGATCTGACTGTACCTTTTAATGCCACAGACAACATTGCACCTGGTGTTCTTGGCAAGGCACGTATCCACCTCCCATATAGGAGTTGGAGCAGCCTGAGGACAAGAACTTGTCTGTCTTTGATGAGAAGCATGACACTTTACCCTTGGAGGTGCTCAGAATGCATTCGTGGAATTTGCTTGACCTGGGAGGTGTAGATACCGGAAGCCTGCATTGAGTCTGCCCTTGGAGCTCAGGCCAGCCCAGTCTCATTGAATATCGGAATCTCAGAGGAATTTGCTCTATAAATGGGGCTTGGACCTGCCCTGATCATCCAAGGGGTGGTGTAGGGACCAGCAAGATAGCAGTGTGAGAGGCCACCGTGAGCCTAAAATGGCCCTGCTGTGCTTACTCTTTGAACCCCCAGCAGCGAGCATGGAGCCCAGTACAGAGCAGCGACCTAACCATTCTCTGAGTTGACCTTCTCCTACCCATGCTAACAAAGTGTTGGCCCCAGAATTCTCACATGAAGGACCTCTCCAAGAGCAGGCAGCCTGGAATTGCTTTAGAGACAGAAGTTTTACCGACTCAGGGGTTGCACATCTTCATGTCTTCTGTCAGAGGCCAAGTTGTGGTGTGTTCATTTGTTGGCTTAGTGTGTGGCATAAGAGGGAGCTTTTTTCCCGGACTTAAGTGACTGTAGATATTTTCAGATTTTCGTAATTTCTGTATACCATGTGGTGCAACTCCAGCACCTCACTGAGTGGAAATGAAAACAAGAAAATGCCTCAGAAGTCTGAAATTCTTATCAAATGGTGGCTGTTTGTATGTACAGAAAACTTATGAGTCAGCTAATTAGGAAATAAGATTCTACAAGAGAAAAATGTATGATGACTAGTTTTGTGTCAAGGAGAGAAGAGAAACTTGATTGCTTTTTGTTTTAATTTTAGATCAAACTACTCATTAAACAAGATGATGACCTTGAAGTTCCTGCCTATGATGACATCTTTAGGGATGAACAGGAGGATGAAGCGCATTCGGGGAATGAAAGTGACAATGGATCAGAGCCTTCCGAGAAGCGCACACGGTTAGAAGAGGTGGGTTTGCGCCTCTCTCCACAGTCTTAAGGAACTTGTCACTCCCAGAGGTCAGAGGTAAGCCCAGAGCCTGCTGGGCCCAGGCAGAACTAGGAGGCAGCAGGTGTGTGTGCTGCCTCTGGGCTCTGCTATCCCCTGGCTGTGTGGCCTCAGGCAGGTTACTGGACTTCTCTGAGCTGCGGTGTACTTGTCTATACAGTAGAATCTTGTCAGATGAAATGAAACAGGATAGCTCAGCTCTTTGCTTAACTAGCAAACCTTTTTAAAAAGCAGTATGGAGAAACGATAAATAGCACAAGTGTCCCATCCCTTCCCCACTCCCCACCAGAATCGCTCTCGGTGCAGTCACTGTGGAGGAGTGACGTGAGTCTGCTGCCCTTGGCCAGGCTTGGTCCTGATGGTCACTCCAGGGGAAGCATCTTTTGTGCAAAGATATGAGTGGTTTGTGCCTCATGATCCTTGGGTCTAAGCCCTCATGATCTGGGGCCTGGCCAACGCTTGTGGCTTCCGCTAGATGTAGAATTACAGGTGGGAGCCGGCGGTTCCTCAGCATGAGAGCTTTGTTTTATTCTAGTGCTCAGTGTTGTTGAAGAAGCTGATGGCACTGGCTCCTGATCCTTGGTGTGCAAGCTGAAATTTGCCTTTTGAATGTTTTAGGGTCTTCCCTTCATCCTTGGCTTGACAGGGGCCTTTAGTAGAGCCCTTTAGAGCCATGTTTGGAACATT